AGTCACTTTAGTGCAGTATTACTGGTGAAGTTTCGACCGACAACATTCCAAAATTTAAGAACAGTGATGGTCGTTTGTGTGAAACATATAAGCATGTCAAAAATTGTTTACTTGAAAACGATGCACAATGGGATATTCACAAGCTGATGCGACAATTTTTGCTCATTCAAATCAAATACGCTCTTTATTTGCAATCATCATATCAACATGTTCATCATCAAATCCGATGAATTAAGGAAAAAATTTAAAGATTTTATCACGGAAGACATTCAGCATGGACTTCGAGCAAAAATTTAAACCATGAGATGCAATGGTTACGATTGGAGACAAAAGATTATTACGCAATGTCATCGAGAGTAGAATATTCATTGGCAAATTCAAAGAAGTGCTAATACCACCAACATATATGCTATTCCTATTCAAACAATTAATATTTTCAATTAAACTGGCTTTTGCAATAACGATAAACAATTTACAACGTTAATCATTGCAATTTAAAGAACCTTGTTTTTCCCATGGATAATTATACGTCACATGCTCACGTGTAGGAAGATAAAGGGGTATGTTTGTATGCATGGCAAATAGAATCATCAAAAACGTTGTACGTATATCCAATGGCACTACAATGAAATTAAAGTTGAAAACAACAGTAATTACAACAATTGTATTGAATAGAGAAATTATTTATCTAAACCAAAACACAAAAATAATTTAATTTTAAATAAATACAATAATTGATATCAAACTTGATGAACAAAATTGAACGCTCCTTTCTATTTCTTTATTTAAAATTAAATCCATTGTCTTCCTTCGTTCGTTACATGTAATTATGAGCTATCGTAGTAAAAATAAAATTAAATAATGCTTTGTTTACTTCCTTTGCTTACTTCTGTACTGATTAATCCTCCGCAAAAAGTAACATTATGTCCTCCCATTCTGCTACGCCTAAAGATTGCTTTCAGTTAACCTTTTTCCTTCAGTGAGTAGGAGAGTCTCAGGGTCATAACATTATTAGAGAAAGGAAACAGTCAGCGCAAAGTCCTCAGGAGACTAAATATAAATCACTCTACAATAGGAAGTGTTCTTCGGCGCTTCAGAAAAACAGGGCTTCATACTAGAAAGACAGGACAGGGTCGAGAGAGATGATAGATACATCTATTATCAGGCTGTATGAAACGGCAGCATTACGGGAAATCAGATAAGAAATCTGATGAGACAAGTCCAAAATGCTTCGATTTTCTCCAGGACTTCCAGAAGAAGGCACAATGAAAATAACTTCAGCACCCGGCTCGTGGACCATTTTTTACCACAGCTCCGCAAATGGCCAGGCTTCAATTCGCACGGAAACATGTAAATTGGTCTTTGGAGAATTGACGACGAGTTCTCTTTTTAGATCAGGTTAGGGTTGGCCTCAAATTTTCAGTTGGGCGTAATTTCATATAGAGACGCTCAGGAAAAAAGTACTCCCCATATTGTATGGGTTCCTACAGTGGCATTCCACGGTGGGTCTTAATGTTCTGGGGTGGCAATTTCTTAAACGCCCGCAACCTATTGGTTGTTGTACGAGGAACATTTTTAACTTCACAGAGGTACTTACAAGACATAATCGATGAACAAGTAGTGACCCCAACATCGGTGAGAGATTCTTGCTAATGCAAGAATATGCCAAGCCCCATGGAGGACGTATTGTGAATGACGCCTGATTTGCACCCAATCGAACAAATTTGGGACCAACTTAAACGGCGAAACCCTGGTCATAACACACTGGAAGAATTGGAAACGGCTAGTCTTGAAGCATAGGAAAGAATTCCTTTCCCGGATTTTACCATAAATCTTTTGCAAGGAATGCAAAAACGTTCAACGGAAGCGATTCATGCCAGAGAAGGAAATACTCGGTATTAATACAGGACAAAATTTCTTTTTTACGTTTTGTTTGGTTATGAATTTTTTGTCTTTACTCAATAATTTTTTTTTAAATTAGATAATAAACATTTTCTTTTTAAATTTCTCATTTTTACAACTAATAAAACTAAAGTATAAACTAAAACTCTTTATTATCTTCCCGGCTTACTCGGGTAATACAGTTACTTATAAAGAAATTCCATAATCAAGAGCGGACATCTTTGAATTTTGTCCCATTAATCGGCCTAAATCCCTCGGGAAGTTGGGTTATTTCCTTAATATTATCCTCTGTAGCTAATATGACATACCAGTTACCCGATCATAATAGGCTAAGTTGGGAGGAAGTTTACCGATTGATCCTACAGCGGATCAGATAATGTCAGTTGCAGGTGGGTGCCCAATGACGGTGTAACAAAAGAACAAAAAATATACTTGTTCATAACATTTTGAAATATGTTTTTTTTTAATTTTTAGTAGGAAATGATAATATAAAACTTTGCTGTTTTAATAGCGGAGCCTATTAGCGTTGTAGCAAATGAACTATATAAATCTGGTTTTTAATGCGTTTCTGTTGCAATTTTATGGCCGTCATTTTAATGTCCATTTCTGTTTTATTCTACTGTAAAAGTATTTGAGTCTAATAAAAAAACGTTTGTCTAAGTAAGTTTTAAGAAAATAAGTTATAAATAATATAAATAATAAAAAAAATCAAAGAGATAAAAAAATTTTAACGTATTTATGTTTTCTGATAATAAATATTATTTATTATCAGAAAACATAAATACGTTAAAAATTTTCTATCTCTTTGATTTTTTTTGTTTCATTGAGTTTGACTGGCAATGTTGAAGTTGTCTTTCATTGCTATTTGTAAACATGAATAGACATTTCGTATTAAACCCTAGGAGAACTTTTCAGTATAAAGCTTGTTTGTTACCTCAACAGGCCAGGTTTTCACACTAATGCGTTTAAGCTAATGCTTTTCACTTCCAGTTTCTCTAGCGTGTCGGCCTATCTGTTTCGTCTTAAAATTCATTGTATATACAAAATTCGCAAGCCTTGAAGCTTTGTTGGGGGGTATGCTTGTTAAGCCTTTTAGACAGGAAGTCCATTTTTAAAATGCAATAAAAATGTATAAAATGCTTAATTTTATCGTTTAATTACAATTTGTTAGGTTTCGGCGTCCGCTTGACCAAATAAATTATTTTCAATTAATTAGGTTTTGGTTGAGATAAAAAAGTCAGTGTCACAAGCGGGATTCGAACCCACGACCTTCGGCTAAATACACCGCTGCCCTACCACTTGAGCTATCGTGATTTTTTAAAGTAGTTTAAGAAGAGTCTGAGGACGAGTAATCACCAATTTTAGTAATTTTTTTTCGTAAAATAGGACATGAATTTTTAACACATTTCCAAGCGTTCATGGCAATGTTCCCTTGGAGTCGAAAAAAATTCATTTTTTTTTAATATGGTTTCCTGCCTTTTTTACTTAATTTTACTTCAAATTAACTTCAACGTTATATATAGTTATATCATATTTTTCCGAACTATTAGAACATATTTTGCACGATCATATTAAATGAAATTGTTTCGTTGAATTATGCTAAGGTTTCTATTCAAAATAAATATTTTAATGAGATTGATTCATGAAAAGTATTCAAAACAAAATCACCCAGTAAAGTACAGCAAATTATTTTTTATCTGAAAAAAAAGAAACATTTTATGAACAGTTCAAAATTAAAATTCGTAAATAGAATTTAAATACAGTAAAATTTATCAAAAAATAGGGCTTGTGCAATATCTGATGTTCCACTTATATGGCATTACTCCTCTGGATTTTATACGTAATAAGACCTATGGCTCACTAATCTGGTAGACCACAGCTCGGCAAAAACAGGCTACATTACATACAAAAACTGGCAAACCTATGTAAAACAGGGGCAATGAAAGCAATACAATCTCACTAGAAACCCTACTAAACCTACCTGGAAATATTTTTACAGGAAGATGCCAGGAAAAGCTTATTTAGGCTCCAGAAACATCCTAACTGAATGAGAACTAAACTCTTCGGGCACATGCCAATAATCAATTAAATCAGGCACCTATTCTTAAAAATAGGGACTGGCTACAAGATCCCGGAAACACTCTTTATAAGATCAACAGACTACAAAGGGTAAGAAGAATTCGGGAAGGAATCAGATACAATGATTGGTATACAGATAGCTCCAAAACAATCGAAGGAACCGGATCATTCATTTTTTGTACTAGCCCGAGACATGTGCAATCAGACTCATTAGGAAAATATACATCGGTCTTTCAAGCTGACATACATGCCATCAATGCGTATGCCTTAGAAAATTATAAAAGAGTTTACACAAAAAAAATCTTCATCTTTTGGGACGATCGGATAGCCAAGAAGCTATTAAAGCAACAACATGTGAAAAAATCACATGAAAATAATTCGGTGAAAATCATGGAAAATCTACAAAACCTGAGGAAACACAACAACCTGATGATATAGTCGGAACCAGGACTCAAGGGAATGTTGGGTAACGAAATAGCAAACATACTGCCCAGAGCAGGATTTGTACGACAATACGACTTCGAATGGTAAGCAACCGCTTAATGGAGACATAGATAGATATAATAATTCAGGGTATGGTATACTGAGCCCTTTAAGAGCTATTGTATCCCCTGTGCTCTGCCTAAAGCAAGGAGGAGGTGTCTCCTCTCCCAATAGCTCCTCCTCGGTGAGCATTTTTGGCTCCGTCTGTAGAGGAGGAGGGGTCTGGGTGTCCATGACAATCTGGTCAACCTCCATCTCAGCTATGTTTTCGGAGGTAATCTCCGTGGGTGGAGGTGTCGCTGTCGGGGCCTGCTCCGTCTGAATGGATGGGGGGGTGATTGGGGTGGAGGTGTGAGATTCCTCTCGTTTTGTAGACCCCCTCCCTTTTTCAGGCCCCTAACAGGGATCCTTCCAAAGCGAAAGTTGAGGGTATGTCCTCTTGCTTTTATTGTTTCAGCTGAGATGTCGTCGATGTCCAGGATCATGACAATCCCAGGCCCTTCTGCTTTCACTGAGTGAACTTTCCATTCCTCAGCTCAGATTCCATCATTCTGCGCTTTGACCAGCGCTAAGGTTCTCTGTTCTTCTCCTAGTTTTGTCCTAGGGAAGAACACTGCTATTGAGTGGGGTTTGGGAACATCCTCCCCGACCCTCACTGTTAGTTTTTTATGTTTGTTTAGCTCCAGTTTGGGAGCTATTTCCTGTAGCCATTGTACAGTTTTGCCATCCTGACAGTCTAGGACCATCATTCCTGGCCTGAAGTGTATACCTTCAAACTGTATTTTGGCTTCCCATCCTTTTAGAATTTCTTCTATGAGGGTCTCCTCTAGGTGGGTCAACTCTTCTGTCGTTAAGGTTACCAGAGGGTATTCCTCTGGTAGCAAAGCCACTCTTATAATCTTTGCTGCTCCAGCGTAACTAACACTGGAAGCAGCCTCCTTGGCTTTGAACTGCGCTTGGGGAGTGGAAGGCTTCGCTTTCTTTTCTTTCCTCAATTCTTTAGGGGTAAGAGATTGCTCTCTTGCCCTCTTACTGGATGATGGTGCTTCCAGTTTTTCTTTCTGGATTTTAGCCTTCCTTTCATCGGCTAATTTCCTTGCTTCTTCGGGTGTTTTCCCCGATTTTATGGCCCTCAGGTACCATTTCGTCATAGCTCCGCTAAGACCTTTCCTGAGAGGGTCGTTTTTCCCGCCTGGTTCTCCCAGCTTTGGTAGTTCGGCGGAGACTTTTTGCTATCCTCTTGGTTTCCCAAGAGGAGGTCTGTATTTTCTAGTGTCGCTACTTGAAGGTAGTGGACCCTTCGGTTGAGTGGTGTTGGATTTCCCACGTAGCGACTGGAATTTATTTTTGGAAAGGAGTGGTGGTCTCTCCTTTGTTTCTGAGGACTGAGTGTCCATCTGGTGATTAATTCCCAGACAATGTGAATCCCCCCGTCAGGACGGTGACGAACGATTCCCGGGGTTCACTACTTGGAAGCGGGGTTGGTCTTTGAACCCCTAATGGAGACATAACCTGGGTTACTGTACTTCTTGAGAGACGGATTGAGTCGATTTTGCTGAACGAATTTAGGAAAGTACAATAAGCCAGGATGCTTAAGTATTTATGGGACCTAAACCACTCCCTTTTCCTGGTTACTCTTCATCATCTGGATGTTATTCAGACTAAACGTTATTAGAAGTAATAATTTGTTGAAGTAGTTAGGAGCGGTAAGGAATAAAGTAATTTATAAAACAACGTTTTCATTTTATTGCCGACGTTTCAACCTTTATTCGGCTCAACTTCAGGGCCGGTGTGAATTACAAAGCATATGTTGATTAGAAAAAAAATTATAGTTAATATACATTAATTAAAATTAATATACATTTTAATCCAAATATTTCATACTCATATAAAGTGAGGTGCTATTCTTGTAGTGTAAAGTTACATTTCGTGTGAAATTGTTGCCCATAATTTTGGTATGGCGTGCAATTGTTTTTCGATGAATTTTTATTTCTTGGATCGCCGTCATCTTTTGAGACGACCATCATCAGGGTGGCAAGCTGATTTTCCTTTTTTTGGCTGAACGTGTTGTTTTAAAATCACCAGTAATGCTAAAGCACATTTTTACTTTTTATTCTGATAAACAGCAGGGTCATAGTCTCTAAGTCATGTTTTTCACTTGTTTTTCTTCTGCATTATTTATCTTCTATCTTCTTAGACCTGGGATACACCCCTTGCACATTATCACGTATTACATGACGGGATACCATGGTACTATATATTCCGATGGTAACCGATCATCGTTCGAAAACCTAGCCTAAACAACCATCATCATCATCATCATACTTGCAGATAAATACAGTTATTCGTCAACCTTTCACACCAATATATGCATACTAAACTATTATCAAACATATTGAACAAAAGTTCACATTTCATTGAAAACATATTGGAGCCATCGGGTACTCAATATTCCGCCAATGACAAATCGAAATTCATACCATTCACTAATAACTAAACGTAAGTAATAGGCCGTCGAGGTAATTAAATACTCCGTCGAGCAGCCTATTTCCATTCAAACTCATTCAACCAACTTTCCCGCTAATAAATACGAACATAATTATAAGACAAGAAATATGTAACGATGCATTCGTCACTGTCATATATTCAAATACGTTTTCTCGATGATGGTAACAGAATATTTCATACAATAATATTTTTTTAAGAATGTAATTATACATAAAAATTAAATTACGTCTCGTAAAGTAAAAATTTGGAATTCAAAACGACTATAATTGAGAAATAGTGTAAAAGTCATTCTTGTCAGAACTTCGTTATTGTTCTATTGCAACAAAGGTTGTTGCGGTTCGTTAACAGCTCCAACTAGAACTCTGAGAAATACATGAGCCCACTGTAGCGGCTATTGTCCAGTGTGGTTGTTTCAGTTAAGGCCCAAAACCGCCCTGCTTGACTAATGACCGCAGTGAGTTTTTACGTATTAATATTTGTGCTTCACCGTTTTCGTAACGAACTGCACAATATCATAGTAGGTGAAATGCGTCAACGCCGATATTCAGAATGACCTGATTAAGCCCTGCTTAATTGCAGTTCACCTAAATTGATTTTCCCGACAGATGCTACCTTAATAACAATTACAACATCAAAGTGAATTCACAATAGGAATGTTTATCAAATTGGCTATAAATATACGCGTTTGTTCATTTGAAAACAACGTTTTATCGTACGGCTCAATTTAATAATTAAGTGCAGTAAATGTAAGTTTGTAACTATACCCTTTTATTACCTAACTAGGCCTTAAATTTAATTAACTGAACGCTATGATCTAAAAACTAGATTTTTCTAAAATAATACCTCACTTAAAATAACTGACATTCCGTACAAAATTAGCACGCTTTTCATTATGGGTGCAAAAACTGTAAATTCAATGTGAACATTTATCTAGTATTGTTGACATGCTTATATTTTTCCTCGCTTACATAGTTACTTATTTATGTTTTTACATTCTATGTAGCTTAAACAGAAAAACGTTCAACTGCCTTGCTGTAGGGATAGGCATGAAAGAGGCCGCAAGGCTTTCTGCACCTAGAACTGAGAAGACCTATTCTGTTCTATTTTTCCTATTTTTTTATTTAACTCACTGGCCAGCTTCAGGTTGTTAGTCAACCTTGCCTGTGGATCCGAAGTGAGGATTCTTCCTGGCTTCTTTTCCTCTCCCAGAAGAATCTACATCTACATCGAACCTCACAAAAAAATCAAACGTGTTCTGCAGTTTCCTATTCTTTCTGGAAATACCTGCGCAGTGTAATTTTAGTCTGTACTCCTAACCGGTGCATATGCCTTCCTAGGCAGCAGAAGTCAGAAGTCGAACCATACTGGTTCTGTCGCGGTTCCAGTAATTCCTTTGTAAATCTCGAGGATGGTCCTTCTATGAACATCTTCACGTGCCTCTTGCCTGAGGTGGCTCACTCATTGAGGATTCATTTTTAAGTATATCCTTTTTTTTGCGAACACAAGGTTCAAGGCATAGAAAATTTATATTGGCTCCTGTTTGGGCCAACATGTCCAACTTGCTCATTGCCTCTATGTCCCGAATGCCCTCGGACCCATGTCAATGTCAGGGCAGTATGTTACTGACTCCTGCCAGTGATGCCATGCAATTCCATACGCTTTGACCATTACCTCGCATGAGGCTAAGAAGGTAATTGCTGCCTGATTGTCAGAGAAAATTCTTCGGATTCGCCTGTATTAAAAACATTAAAAGGTTTTCAAATGATAAAATGAAAAAAAAAATTAAACTAAAAGACCATTATACAATAGAAGGATGTATTGTAATTTCAGTAGGCATTTGAGTGGAAATTGTTGTATTGATCGGTGGTAATATATATTAAAGAGGTATGACCGTACATAAATGGAAATTGTGCCCCATGGCGAAAGGATGGCCTCCATGATTGTACAATGGAACAATAGAGGCAAAAGTTGGAAATTTGATTCAATACTGGGGTCCGAAAGGTCGGCAGAGGAGAGGAGGAAGTAAAGTTAATGAACTGGGACCTAGGGATGTCTAATTGGAATAATCAGGAACCCCGGTCAGGACCGGTTTTCGTTAACGAACACGGATTTTCGGTGACTGTCCCCAAACGGATCAATTCTACCTATGTGTAAAGTGGGAAAAAATGGAAAATGCAAAGAACCCAGAATTCGTAAAGAAAAAATGGTCATTTATATGAACCTCATAACATTGATTTTCAATTTTTGTTTTTTTAATTCGAAAAACAATTGGAACCTACTCTATTATTTTATTTATCTCACCTTATACCCAATTATATTTTAAGGTTTTGTAAATGAACTTCGAAAAAAACAAAAAATTATATAAAACACACAAAGACAAAAATTCGACGAATTTCATTAAGTATTTCCCAGACTAGAAAAAATCCGAGTATTAAAAAAAATTACTCATCTTACACCAAATTTCACACGCAATAGTGAAATCACTTTTATCATCAATGGGTTTAAGAACCTCTCAAGAATTGAAGCGATTAAATTTGTGTAGGTCTGCGAGTATAAATACTGTCTGTAATAGCCATTTCGTCAGTTCAAAATGAAATATACGATCTGCCTATCACTACTGCTGGCACTCCTTTACGTCCACAGCGAAGCTGTGGTCAGGTAATTAGATTTAGTTTTAAAAATCAACATAATTTGTTTTCTGATAGCAATTTACAAACATGTCATTTAATCTAGAAATAAAATTAGTTTAATTTTCGCCTTACTAAATTGGTTTTGCTATGCACACTTATATAGGCTTATTCTGTCAAGTTACTCCTTTTTAATTTCAAATTATCCGTTTTTTTTTTAAATCAAAAACCTATGAGATGGTATGAAAAGTAAGCACGTAAAGTAAAATACATACATACATGTGAAAAAAAAAATAATCTGGCAATTATATGTATATGAAACCATATGAAATTTAATTGTCATTAAAGATTAAAATATGTACAAACACTTTAATTTGAGATTTTTAATATCAATTAAATAGGTTCTTAAAAAATATATGAAAATTGCAATCAACATTTATAATATATAAAATTAACACTAAAAGTATATTTCAATTTGGTTAAGAAATTGTTAACCTTCATGTTTACAAGCATAATCCTTTATTTTAATCCAATTAACTATTTTTTATCTAAGATTTTGGTTGAGATGAAAAATTACTCTCAAGAGAGGGATTCGAACAAACGACTTTCGGCTCAATACGTCGCTGCTCTACCACCTGAGCTATCGTAACCCAGAAGTTAGATCAGCGACAATTGAGCCCAAAGTCGAGGGTTCGAATCCCGCTGTCACTAATTTTTCATCTTAATCAAAAACTTTATATAAAAAGAATAATTTATTGAAATGATTAATATGGTCAATTACGACTTCTACGCAAATATGGATTAACGTTATTTTAATATTTCATTTTATATAACTTTTAATTTTGTAATTAATTTTCATACAGTCTCTTATATATATGAGCCAAATTATTTTATATTTTAAAAAATTGTAAAATTAAAAGAAGGATTCTTTATTTTTATATTTTACTAGCTGTACTATTCGGCGTTACCCGGGGGATTATAAAAAGTTTTATTTTACACTTTATAAATTGTAGTTACTGATAAATTCAACATTGAAGTTCATAGCAGTGCTCTCGGTGATTGTTGATTCACCAAACACGTGTTTGGTGATTCCATTTATCATATGTACAAAAAAATCCCTTGATTTTCCTGTATGCAACGTGCAATTCTATGAAAAAAACATGGATTATCCAAATTCAATTTTTTCAATGATTTACCTTGTGATTTCTTTATCGTTATTGCAAAAGCAAATTGCAAATTGCAATCGTTTGATTAGGAATGGCATACTGCATGATGCAATTGATTTAGGTGGTATCACCACATCCTCTTGTTTAAATTGTGCCAATGAAAATTATTGCTGCGTTCACATTTAATAATCTTTTAACCGCTAATCTGAGACCAATGCAAAGACAGGTGGGTCAATATGTCTAAGAAGAATGATAGGAACACCAAATTTCTGATCGTGTATGGTGGCAATCCAAATAGATCAAGTTAATTTAAGAATTTATTTGGATAATTTTTTTGCTTCATTTTGATCCGTAACAGTATCTATTAATTTGGAAGTAGTTCTTTCTCCTGGTAACAAGTGTTGAATGCTGATATTATGATGACTTTTGTAATTTTGTTTCATATCTGCAGATACGTATTGAACCAATTTTTCTTGTGTGTAAGTCTGTAAAAATCGGTTGGTAATTTAATGTACCCTTGTTGTTTCTATAATTGTAATTTTCCAATTTTCAATGTGCAATAATTGTATCGCAAAATGTTCTGCAGAAGGATCGTTTCGTAACTGAACACGCATGATTGTCGTCCAATTTGACGATTTTAAAAACTCATTTAGTTCATTAGCTTTTACAGCCATTATGCGTTCGTCCCAAATAATTATCATGCATTGGTTGGAGTACTTTACTCATTCCTAATATTTCTGAAATGTTGCAAGTTGTTGTTACGCTGTTTTGTCTTTTGAATATCTATTTGAGAGCTGAATATGATGTTCTACAATACTTGAGGGTGCGATTCCCATACGATATTATGTTGTGCATGTAGGTTACCAGTACTATTGAAATAAGAAATGTTTTTCCTTTGCCACTGGTGCATCTAACGTACACCACTTTCATCAGTTGTTGCTCGTCTTATCGCATAATAAACATGTTTTTGTTGTTGACGTAATTTTTGAATATTTGATTATACAAATATACTTAATTCGTTGATGTTGAAGTTGTTTCACGTGGTAATTCAATATCAAATATTCATGAACTATTCCATTTGGTGGTCCCAGCTGTGACAAATTAACGATTACCAAACACTTGTCTTTAGTCAAAACTGATGCTTCATTATACATTTATGGTATGAGTTGCATGTTATGATTTAAATATCTTATACGAAGTCTATGCTGAATGTCTTCAGCCGTAAAATCATTATACTTATGTTGAAGTGTGTGGTGTTTAAGACCGTTAGCCAATGACAACAGAAAAGTTCTCTGAAAGCTAGCCGATACAAGTTTCTTCTCAGTATTGGCGATATCCTTCAGAATACTCTTTGCTTGGTGTCCATATGTTCCTCCTTCAGAGAACATTTTTGTTGAAATGCAGACAACACAAGGCCCTGATGATTTCCATAAGATGGAAAACGTTGGCATGATAAAGAACATGTTTTTTCTAACGTCACACCAGACCGCTCTTCTCGATCCCCAAATAATAATTTATGTTGAAGGTTGATATTAATGAAATTGACATTTTTTGCGGCTAATACGGCACTTTCACAACATTAACCGGTAACCATTGATAAATATTGTAATTTTGTTTGATAGCTGTAAATACACATTGAACCAATTTTTTTGATCGAATGGAACCACATCTTCCTAAAGAAACTTAGAGCAGCCAGAGATCCATCTGTTCATCAGTTCGGAACGGACATGGACGTTGATCCCACCCTATACCACAACTGACTGACTGTCTTTGAAAGGCTGTGATGTACGCATGTCACATGGTCACCTGATTGCCACAAACCAAACTGGCACTCATCTGTGATGAGACAACCCTTCCCCATTGTTCACGTGTCCAAGGGAGATGCTCACTTGCAAATAGCCGCCTTTCTACTCGATTCCCCCCCCGTAGAGAACTTGATGCGGGACGTTAAGAGATCAGGTTATTTTCACGAAGACATTTGATGATGACGGTTGTAGAGCTCAGCCTTACATCATGTTTGCAGTTGACTACCTATCATAGAAGCCGTTAAATGACGGTTCTGTAGTGCGGTGAGATCAATGAAACGATCGTCCGTCATACATCGCGATCGTCCATTACATCTTCGATCGAATTTCCGGTCGCCCTAAACCCATTTACTCCATCGTGGATGGTAAAGCCCGGCACACCCAGGACTTGGGCTATGTAACATACGTAGTTTCAATCATGGTCATGCAGCCTGTCATCAAATGAACAAGTAGCCAAAGTCTTTTAATAAAACTAAAAATAATGAAAAGTTACATTAATTAAAAGATTATTTGTACATGATGGGTGTAAATTCCCGAACGTCTAAATATTTATTTTGTAAAAAATAGTGCAGATAAATTTATTTTTTAAAAATGGAAATGTTTTGGAAGCACAATTTATAATATTTAATTTCATGTAATTTTTAATTTTACTTGTCATCTATTTTCAACTAGTTACTTAGAGCAATTATTTTATTTTTTTGAATGATTTAAGAAAGAGGTTAATTTGAAGTTAAAAGTGTTAATTTTACGTTGAAAAAGAGTTAATTTACTATTTAAAAAGTTAATTTAATTTCAATTAATTAATCTTTTTATGTTGTTTATGTTGTATTGGTTGAAATGAAAAAGCTAGTGTCACGAGCGGAATTCGAACCCACGACCTTCGGCGAAATACGCCGCTGCACTGACCACTTGAGCTATTTGGACTTCGATCAACTCGGACACCAACTCCCCATCTCAACGGTGGGTTCGAATCCCGCTCGTGACACTAGCTTTTTCATTTCAACCAGTACCACCTTACATAAAAAGATGAATTAAAAGTTATTTGGTCAATCGCACCAAGAAATAATGGATTTATTAGTAATTTAATGTTGATAAGGGATAATTGAACGGGAAAAAGCGGAAATAGTCAAATGGACTGACTTTTTTCTTCTTGTTTGTAGGGTGTCTCTGCAAAAGAGGCTTCAAAACAAGGATCGGTTGACTTCACTTGAGAATTTAATGAAATACCAGCATCGTCTAAAAAAATATTTGTTTTTGAATAATAAAAACACGAAAGAGGATCTACAAACCAATTTGAACGTACGTTGACGAAAAATAATTTTCTTGCATAATATATACGTACTTATTTGTATTGCAACGTTTATTTTAGTAATTGATATATATTTCCAGACTGCTTACTACGGGACAATCTCATTGGGCACGCCACCTCAAAATTTCACCGTAGTCTTCGACACGGGATCTTCAAAACTTTGGATTCCATCGTCGTATTGCAAAAGCCGGAACGTATGCAGTACGTTTCCCATCAAATCTTTTCTAAGAGTTTACGTAGTGTACATCATTTCTAATTGATTTTTAGGGATCGGCTTTTACGATCATAAGTCTTCGACTCACCAATTAACGGGTAAAACATTCCAGATCGCATACTGGACCGGAGCTGTAGCTGGATACTTGGCCCAAGATACATTAACCGTGAGTATAATATATTTATTTAATCAATGATAAAGCTGTAAAATATTTGTAATTGTCAGAAACCTAATACCCTTTTTAATATACAAACGTATATAGCTTTTTCGTTTTCAACTGTTCCTAAAGGGCAACAATTATTGCAATGATACAAAGTAGTACTTCATACTTACTAAGCAACTACAGCATTCAAGAAAAGAAATTATATGTAATTTGATACTTACTATTTTGGTCTACTATCCTGGCTGGGTTGGTATGTCAAACGAGTTTCGTCATTTTTTAATCTTCATTATGTCTGACAGACCAACACAGAAATGAAAGGTAGACCAAATTGACCGATAATGACTAAATTATTGTTTTATCAACCCGCAGACCACACGGAAAAAGTTCAAAATTTAACGTGTTATTTTCCCCTCGCCCATTTGAACTAACCGAGTACGATTATTTTAGATTGGAAATATGAGTGTACGGAACCAAGAGTTTGGGGAAACGACATTAGAAACGCAAGCACCTTTTGGTTGGGCTCAATTCGACGGAATCTTTGGTCTTAGTTTTCAATCTCTATCGGTTCAGGATGTCGTACCGCCATTTGTCAACATGATGAGACAGGGCCTAGTAGAAAAAGGGAAATTCTCCTTCTACCTCGGAAGGTAATTGTAATTTGTCCACTCGCTCGTACAATTCATTCATATTCAAGATTTTGCATGTTTTAGAAATCCTGATGACGAGGTTGGAGGAGAACTGGTCTTTGGAGGTGTTAATGAAGATAAAGTTGACGTAAAAACTCTCAAATCATTTAATATAACTTCTGACCGCTTCTGGAAAGTCAAAATCGACGGGTGAGTAGCATTTTTCATGTCGAATTTCGATTTTAAATAATTTATATTTTTCTTGGTAGTATCGAAAGCGAAGACCGTAAATGGTACACAAGCGGTTGCCAGGCTATAGTTGACAGTGGTACGTCTTTCATCGTCGGCCCGGCTGATGTTATAAACGACTTATTATATAAAAAGATCGGAGCGGTATTCGTTAAACAACTCGGTGTATCGGCTGTAAGTTCATTTTTCCTTTTTTCCTTAACAGCAGTGAATCTAATTTGATTTGATTTACAGGTCAATTGTGACGAATTGGACGATTTACCCACTGTTAATATTACCATTGGTGGTGTAAAATACCCGCTGAAATCGTCCGACTACGTCATTAAGGTAAATTTTTAATTAATCAACGTCAAAGTGTGTACATTTATTATGCATTTTATCCTACAGTTCAAAGAAAGGGAAGGAGATGTGTGCGTCCCAGCATTTTCCCCTATGAATAAAGCCAAATCCTGGATTCTCGGTGATGTCTTCATGAGGACGGTATACACGGTTTTTGACATAGAGAACCGCACTGTCAGCTTCGGAAAATTGAAATCATAATCTTTAATTTGTGATTTCTTTAAAATATATTTTTCTCACTTTTTATATTTGCAGTTAGTTTTTCTTTATCCGTCTCAATTTGAATAAATAATTATCTTGCATTCATATCAAAATATTTGCAGTAATATTTGTGAGAATGTCTACAGTTTGACTGAGATGGATGGATAATTTTGTTATGTCAAAAACTACTAGTTTGTTAGTTAGGGGATGGTCGTGTTATTGACTTAAGTATCCTACGCCATACCACCCCACTAGTTTGCCACAAAGTCCTTTCAAAAATCTTCCTGAAAAACCTTTATATATTATTTGAATGCCTCAATGTTGTTCCACCCCAATAATTCTTGATTTCTACGACATCACTCCACCATTCAACAGGGTCACAGTGGTAGACATTATTTGCTGCATTCTTAGACATTGGGCCAGCAGCCTTCGATGGAGTATGGCACGGATTTGCTGAGTAACTTATTCTGGAGCTAATCCTATATAACATCCCTTTCCCCATTCATTATGTTGAAGCGGGTGTTCCGCAAGGCGGCGTCTTGGACCCATTCTCTATTCAGCATACACTGCATTCCAATCCCATAGGCAGACCATACCACCACACTTTCAGCAAATCCAGAACCAGTAGTGGTCTTCAGAAACTTCCAGGATATCTATCCTGATCTGGAGAATGGTTCAAGAAACGGAGGATCGAACTCAAGGAAACCAAATCCCAGCAAATATCTTTCCTCCTTCGTCGTATTATTTCTCCCCTAGTATATAAATGGGAAGTTTATGGGCCGACAAATAGCTGAGGTCATCGCCGGCCCTCTGCGTCTTTTTCCTTCTTTTTCTTTTCTTTTGCGCATATTTTGTTTTAAACTGCAGCCATTTGAGCGTCTCGATCTAGTTACTGACTCTCTGATTTCAGATATGTACTACGTTGATATTCTAGAATGCTAGTCTCTCGTGTGTACCTCAGGTTGTCAAATTCAGAATAGAAACAAAACACATGTCTAACATCACCACAAACATAGATGTCTGATCACATTCACTCCCCCAGAGTACTCGATATTCCTCGGGGCGGAGTTATAAGCAACCCCTTCCTTTCACGCAAATAAATTACTTTTACTCTCCAGACGTCATACTCTCACCCCAGAATACTTGATATTCCTCGGGGCGGGGTTATAAGCAATCCCCTTCCTTTCACGCTAATAAATTAGTTCCCCTACTCTACTGCAAATCTGTTCCTCTATCAACATCCAATGTAGCCTGCTATTGGGAACTTTACTTTGACAAAAGACAGACTTACTTGGAACCCTACACTCGCTTCAAAGATTATAACTGAACAGTCGATCTAAAATCCTTAAACGACTACTTGAAACATATCGAAACACTCTCATTACTACAACCATCTGGCCGTTTTCGATACAAAATGTTCTTTATAATTTTGAGTTGGATTTTAGAAAGCTAGCAAGAAGCATTGATGCTTTTTATGTGGGGCTGGCATATAATTGACTAGTGGCCTAATAGGGTTGTCAGGTTTGTGTTAATTTAGGAGGGATATCAGGTTTGGAGGTGTGGAATTTATGTTTGTGCATTATTATGTTTCTGTGAGATTGATGATTAGGACTTAGGTATTTATTTTTTATAAAGTTTGGTATTGGGCTTTGTAAGAATTCTACTGTTTATGTCCTGGCTGATCTATCGAAGGGGTAGATCAGTGAGTGCAATATGGAATCACAATGAAGGCTTAAAACATAAATTAACTTTTATCATAAAACAGAACAATATGTCGATAGGAATATCTCCCAAATTACATCGAGAGAGAGAGAGAGAGAGAGAGAGAGAGAGAGAGAGAGAGAAAACGCCCAAGTTTGGAAATGCATATTTTCTCAGCCTTTTAAGCCGTAGAATTGCGCTAGATCTAATTTTTTTTTAATTTTACTTTTAACGAGATGGCTCTTTTAGATGTTTGCCTAGTTATTCAACAGTAAATTAAAAAATTCGGGAAAATGTTAATTTTTGCACGTTTTTACAAAAAGTTCAAATTGAGCTGTGGTGCTAGGAAATCGTCCTGGAGCGACGACCTTTATCAATTGATAGAAAATTGTAATAAGCTTTCAATTATATGATTTATTTTTAATGAATGATTTCTTGGGTTTTTTGACTGTCCTTTGCTTGGGTACCTGGCCTGTTTCGACTGCAAATAAATAAAATAATAAAATGAAAATAAAATAAAATTGGTCACTTTCCAATTTGCCCGATTTTCTCAATAGTTTTCGAGTTATTCGCGATTTTTGGGCAAAACCGTGTTTACATTTAATTTAATGGAATGACTAAAACGTATTAAAATTTTAACGTTAAAACCTCACAAAGGGAAGGAAATATTAAAAATATCGGTCAAAGGAGTGATCATAAAAGATGAAATTTATGGAATTATGAAATTATAAGAATTTCGTCATAAAAGGAATTATTAGTTTTAAAATCATGGATATTTTCAAGGATGAACAAATTTTGAACAGTCATGTTTTTGGAAATTTTACGCTCTACAACTCTACAACGTTTATTTAGAAATCGTGAGATGCGGTCTGGTGTGATGTAGGTTTCAGAAACATTTTCTTTATCGTGCCAACGTTTCGATCTTTATTGAGATCNATCATTTACAAAAAGTTGCTGCTATGAGTCCTGTTCGTTCTTTTATGCCCGTCGGGTAGGATCCCAATGGCTGCGTTCTGTGTCCACTATGACCCAGACACTATTCGTACGGTATGGTGTGGTTGTGTTTTAGTTGTTCTTCTGTTTTGTTTTTGTTGCGTGTGTTTTGAAAGATTTGTTTAGTTTTGTTTTTATAGTTGGGTATTTTTGGTGTGTTCAACCAAAACAAATATTGGTTGAAAAATCGGTACAAATCTGCTTTCACTTCAACTTTAAATAAGAAGATGCTACTTCATCGACTCGAAACTAATACACCAAGTATGAGTAAAATGTAGTACCATAAGAAACTAAATTTCGAATTATATAATTAAAAACGAATAAAATACAATTTCTTTGGTATTGTAAACTTTTAATTGATTTTGAAAAATGACCTAAAATCAGCAGTTCCTTTGTTTAATTGCAATAATTAACAAGAATATTTTACTCTTTTGGTTTTCTTAGTTTTACTAGTGTTCGATCGTTTTCTTTTGCGTTTTACAACTTTGCATTGCTCGTCCTCTGAATTGGCCTGCTTTTTCGTTTTTGTTTCTTTCCTTTTGGTTTTTCTTTTCCTTTTGTCTTTCACATCATTGTATTGCTCATCATCTGATTTGGACTGCTCTTTCGTTCTTGTTTCTTTCCTTTTGTTTTTTCTTTTTCTTTTGTCTTTCCCATCCTTGTATTCCTCATCATCTGATTTGTTCTGCTCTTTCGTTCTTGTCTCTTTTCTTCTGTTTTTTCTTGTTCTGCAGGGATCTCTTGTAGATGTATCCTTTTTTCTTAATTTTCTTTCTTCTTCCGGTTTTCGGCATACGCGTTTCTCTCCTTCGACCTTTTTCTTACCAGCTGTGCCGCAGAGCCTGTTAGTCGGAATAGCAAGAGATCTTTGAGAGACGATATACTTGAAATTCTTCTTAGTGAGAAACCCTTTGGCCAAACCTTCTTTCAGGGCTTTGGCCACATCCAAACTAGGAAGATCGTAAAGCAACGACATACGGTCCGCGATTTCCTCTTCGGTCAAACCGTCTGTTTCATGATCCAAAGAGATGACGGCTTTCAATCGTTCACTGTCGAACTTAAACCCCTTAGTTGTGCCCGCTGTACTCATTCTTTCAACACGTACTAATAACAAAACTTGTAAAAAAAGCGCTAAAACAAACAAGCAAACAAAATCTTAATACAATTAATTATTCATGTGTTTATTTATAGTTTTCATTTTTTTAAACAGCTGAGAATATTTAAAGGCCCTGAAAGATTATAAAAGCCAATATACATATTGTGTTTCTTCCAGTCACTAACATCTTCTCATTTTATAATCGTAATTATTTAAATTTTTTTTTCGAGATTTTTCATATTTTTTCTAAAATCAATCCAATTGTAAAGGTATAAGTAACATTTCCTCCCAGACCGGCTGATTGCTAGGGTTATATTTCTTGAATTTTTTCCTTATTACAATTTTCAGCGAAATGGCACCCTGAACTGTCAGCTGATCCATCCCTTCTGGATGGGACATGTTGAATGAATGTTTATCTATTTGATTACAGTACAATACATATAACAAAACAGTGTAGGTGTATTTAAGATAATACATTTGAATAAGTAAATATTTATATATGAAGCAATTTCAATTACTAACTAGGCTTGACCCGACTAAGAATAGGGCATTTGAGGTTACCCCTTTTTTTGGGCCAAAGCCCGCGTATGTGTCTAGCATGCAGAGAAAGGTTGCTCGATGTGTCCCACCTAATTGAGGGGGCTAATTCCTTCGCTACATATAGAGAGCGCGTAGAAATGGCACCCGATATAAAATTTGTTGTTTGATTGTGCCTTTGTCTAAAAAGTAAAAAAATGTAAATTGCTAAGAAAATGAAAACAGATAAAATTTGTTTAAATTTTGTTTTAAATTTTTAATTAACATTTCAATAACGCGTATTTCCTCCTCTTGCCTTAATTACATCTCGAAGACGGCATATTTTCTACCAGTTTGGAAATGTCTCTTTGCTGGAGGGTAGCCCATTCTTCACGAAGAGTCCTTTAAAGATCGTGGAGTGAATCAGGAAGTGATGGACGTGCTCTTATTCGTCTTTTGAGGTTATCCCATAAATGTTCGATATGGGTGAAGTCTGGAGAATGGCCAGGCTAAGACCCTGATGTTATACTGTTGAAGGGACGTTTGTACTATGCGAACATGTGGACGGGCACTGTTGTGCATTGGAATAGGATCTGGGAAAAATTACAAACTTCGTACCTTTCATTTCGCCTTCTCCACACTCTTTCACGCCCATCTGGAGATGGTAGAACAAATCTAGTATACTCATCTGTAAAAAGAACAGCAGACCAATCGTCTAAAGACCAATTTATGTGTTCTCGAGCAAATGGGAGCTTTGCAACTCTGTGTGTTCTGGTCAATTCTAGTCCTCTTACGGGGCGAAAAGCCATCAGTCCATATTGATTTAATCTTCTTCGAGCAGTGCGTTCAGAAATTTGGACAACCCGAACTTTCTGGAGCTGATGAATAGCTTGAACAACAGTAAGGTACCGGTTTCGCAAAATTCTCAAAAAACCGTCATCCTGTGGTACTGTTACCCTAGGGCGTCCAGAACCAGGCCTTCTATGGTACGACCCAGTTTCTCGGAAACGTCTAACGGGTCTTGCAGAGTTTCGTAGGGAACTCCGATGGCAATAGACGCATATCTGATGGAACGTCCATCATCAGTAAAAGCCACACCATGCCCAACATACTCAGCACTAAGTGGCATTTTTAAGTTTAAAAATTGAAATTAAAAAAACAAAGATGAAAACTAAACAGTTTATTTGCTTCAGAATTCAATGGGACTGAATAAACATTTTAAATTCCGTAAAAGGTAAACATGGAAACATCCTTTATCCTTATTTGGATTAAGGATTAAGTGGGTAAGTGTTTAAGTGTGTATGATTAAGTGTTTTTCTCCAATTGATATTCTCAATTTAAAACATAGCATAAACAAATATTTATTGATAAAAACCACGAGACAAATTAAGGGCAGAATTTTCTTTATCGAAAAAATAAATAAAAAATCAATAGAGTGGAATTTTTTGGTTGTCAGTACAGTAATGATAGTTTGGTGTTTCTAGTGTGTGTTGAAAGTGAATCTATTTATTAGCGTGAACGTTTAGCGTAAGATGGTTGATGGCGGAATATTGAGCACCTCATCGACCCTCACTTAGGTTAGAATATTGAGTAATCCACTTCCTTAACTGAGTGAATGGCATGTAAATAAGAACGAATGGGGTGGTTTTGGGGAAATGATTGTGTTGGGGGATGAAATGACCTAACTGACAGCAATCGGTGGCTGGACGGATAGGACCGAGGTCCCCAGACTGCCAACACATCCATTCCATGTTTCTATTTTCATGTAACTCAGTCGGACATAGATTTCTGGCAGAGACGATGACCAGCCGTAAAAATTTATTTTGAACCACTTTTAACATTGATGATTGTTCGGCTTGAAACATTCCATGCTGGGCATGCGTATAACAACATCGGATTAATTACGCTCTTAATAATAGTAAATGTTGGATACCGTTATTCCATTCTCTCCCCGAGCAAAGAATAAAGTAATCGTATTGCCGCTTATGCTCTTGCTTACGATAGTTTTCATGTATGTGCCAAAATTTAATTTGGAATCAAGTGTAATACCTATGTAATTTACTGTCTTTGACCAATTAATGGACTTTCCTTCGAGTGAAATATTATGAAAGAGCAAGGGCTGACGTTTGGTGAACAGGATGCGACTGGTTTCGGATGCGATAATTGTTAACTTCCATCTAGTGCAAAAACACTAGGTTTTCGAGCTCCATATTAATATTTTTGACAATTGCACTAATCGTTCAGGAGGAATAGAAAAGAGCAATATCATCGGCGTATAATGCTAGTTGACAACATTTTGGTTTAGGCAGAGCCTTTAGAAAAATTCAAAAACGAGTGGGGCTCGAAAGTGACCCTTGAGGGACGCCGTCTTTAACAGTGAAATGTGATGAAAGAAGAACATGAAGGACAACTCAAAATGAAGTTGCAGGTAAGAGTACACGATCATTACATATTTTGGTGTATTATACTTAAGCATACTGAAAATAATTTCATCGTACCAAACGGTATGGCTTTGTTCAGGAGTATAAGTCCCATGTGTTTTTAATGTTATAACCTTCAGGAACGTGGTACTCAAGAATAACAACCAGGTGATTCATCTCTTCTGGATGGGATATGTTGAATTTTTGCTATCTCTAATATTTAACCCCTCCTCGCCGTATGTTCCTAATTCGACATTACATAAATAATTATATGTGCACATCTCACAAACGTGAAAGTATCATTGTATCAGATCAATAAAGACTGTTAATAAACTTTGATATTGTGTCGTATTAAGTTTCAAAATTCAACTGTAACTTTCTCTGCATTAACTTAACATACATGTTATGAAGCAACCTTCTTTACGCTACGAATTATAATTTAGGCAACAAACGGAGAGATGTTATATTTTCCATTATAAACTTGGACTTTTCTTTAGAACTGGGATTACGCCAAAATTCTTCTTTGAAACACGTTTTCTTCGTTCGAGGGAATAAGAAAAGTTTGCGGAATTTTCGCTTATATAAAGTAGATATGAAGTCATAAAGCTTTTCGTTCAGGGTCGTTTTAATATAAATTTCTCTATTAAAACAATCGAGATTTGTTCAACGTCGTTCCTTGGCAGAAGATTATATAATATTTATAACTTTTTCACAGTTGTGGCCTTTTCCAATAAATAATAAAACTATAAAGCATCAACTTAAAATTACACAAATTATTCATGCAAATAAATCAGCAAGATAAATAACTACCACAATTTAAAATGGAACTATTAGTTTAACGTGCTAGGAAGATGTCTAACTTCCCAGAGGTATTTACAAGACAAAATCGAAGAGTATGTAGTACCATTTGCCACATCAGTGAGAAATTCTTGCTAATATAGGATAATGCCATGCCCCATAGTATTGTGAATGACTACATGAGGTTCGAATTAATTGCTTGGTGTTGCCAGGTCGAAGTCCAGATATGAACACGATGGAACACATTTGGGACCAACTTAAATGACGAATACGACGGTGAAACCGAAAAGAGAGAGTTGGAAACGTCTGTTCTAAATGAATGGGAAAGAATTCCTCATGATTTTATCAGAAATCTGTTCCAAGAAATGCAAAGGCGTTTAACGGACGTGATTCGAGAGGTGGAAATATTTAATTATTAAAGGGGACAAAAAAGTTTTTTTTACATATGATATTCGCTGATCGACCAGATAATCTATGTAGGGTTCCAATCTTCGTAGAGGTCATTAGACAGGTGAAAAAAAAAGAAGACTAAATGGTGGGTCAACGAGCTTTCAGCACCTTATAGTGCCATCATCAGGGCCTATTTTGTTACAAATTCAAATAAGTACACAGTAACACACAATTAACAATTAATGTAATAAAATGATATACATACTACCTCGAGGATGAAGAAAACGATTAACATGGAAAACTATTGTACAAGCATTTTGGGTTTAAGGTTATGAAGCACATGGCCAGCATAAGACATTTTTGATGGAGAAAACAGACATCTACATAAAATTATAAGAAATTATTAACATACAATATTTATATTTAACAATGAAAACAATAATTTATAGTAAAGTAAAGCAATACCTCTCTACAAATCCGTATGACTAAAAGTCCAACTATTTTTTTGTTCTGACTAGCAATTTCTTACAGGTTCTGCCAAGGTGCCGAAAGCTCAGTGAACCCAGCATTTAGTTTTCTTTTTTTACATATTTATTTGTTTGTGATATTTCTGTTTTGTATGTGTGTTCTTTGTGCAATATTTTTTTCTTTTTTTTTAAGAATTAGCTAGTAAGCATTTTCTTTTTAAATTATGTTATGCAAACTATGAATAAACTTAAATACTTTAAAATGGAAGGGTGGTGCGTTAATTCTGTCCATCAGTATATAATGACAAAAATAAATACAGTTTTTCTTTTTTTACAAACCAGTATGGTTTCAGTATTTATATAGTACAGTATTCAAGATTTTTAACATAAAAATAAGCAAGAAATATTAATATTTACTTCTCTTGAAATCAGAGTGTAGCACTAATGAAGATTTATGATAATTGAAATGATGGCGAATCTATTTAGGCACTGATCTGGCGCTCAAGGAAGGTCCAAGTTTCCAATTGAGAACCGCTAATACGAATTTTTTTTTCCAAAAAATAAAATAATGACACCCCGTGGTTGATAATAAAATAAACTTAGATTTCTTATAAACAAGGAAATAATTTAGCAATGTGAAAGCACAAATTTTGCAAAGAAAAAGTTTTAAAACTATAGTAATCAATTATTCCCCTTTTCTGTTTAAATATAAAATAAAGTCTGAGAGTGCACATTTTAAATTTACAGAAGAAAAAGAGATATTACTTGTCGTAAACAGCAGAATAAAATAGTAAATGATCTACAAAAAGGATTTATATTATTCAATTACTCAGTAATCTGTTCTATGCTGTAATAATTTTTTTATTCACAAAATCCCATTTTCAGCACTAAAAACTCTTTGTACTGAATGATTTTACACTGACATCATGCATTCTGCAATCTGAGTAAATAACAGAAACATTGCAATATGTTATATTTCAGCATCACTATATTAGAATGTTCAGATCTTCCTGCTGCTAATGCTTGCTGGTTTTCCTGTTAGATACCTTCATCACCTTGCAAGCCTCAACAAAATATTTCATATATATGCAATTAGTTTAGGGTTTTAAAGATAGGTTTTTATTTTTGGGTGTTCATTGGTCATAGTGATTTTTCAAAATATTTATATTTAATTGAATGCCATGTGGAAATGTATTCACATATAATCGTAGTACACCATAGATAAGTCAAGACATTTTTTTTAACAATTGGAATGAAATGTGTGCAATCTATGCTGGGAAAATTAGTGTGGTTGATCTGCATGTAGCCATGTTTGAAAAGGTCAATAATTTAACCTGTTACATTTGTTTAATGTTTGAATGGTTCATTTCATTTTTATTTATTTTATTTTATAAAAAGTTTTCTCATTTCTAGTGTATAGTTTTAAAATCCAGTTTTAGAAGACAATTTATAAATGTTATTCATATTTCTTTCACTACTTTCTCAGAATCATTTCCACCCTTAGGTATATATCAAAACAAAGAAAGTTAGTAATAAGTTGATTTTATAATAAATCGGGTTTTTTTATCAGTAACCCAATTTTTTTATCAATCTGTTCAAAGCTTTCAAAATAATTAAAGTGAGTTTTCATAATTCTATAGATAGTAAAGGGAATAACTAACACCTTATCACTGTTTACTCTGAATGATTACATTAGGTTTGAAGCAAGCCATCCAACATTTGAAATCAGACGTATATTTCTTTTCTGTAATTGAAAGAAGCATTTTTTCACTTTGTTTTGTAAATTTTTCATGGAATAATAGAATCATAATGAGGTTAATTTTAGTATTAAATGTATTAACCATTCTCTTTGAGAGCATCAGTGGAGCAGGACTAAAGTAAGTAAGAGTCAGGTAGTAATGTTATTTAAATCATTACAATTGTTCTATTTAATTAATTAAATCAGACGCAAACATTGTCATTGAAATTTATGTATTAAATTTTAAGAGTATCGCTTAAGAGAACATATGTCACAAGAGATGGACAGTGGTTGAAAAATGTTAAAACCCAAAGTAAAAGATATACTCAATTTTTTGAAGCTGGTTCTCCCAAAGTAGCACTTACAAATTATCAAAATGTGAGTTGTCACTGTTCATATATCAAAAAAAAAATATATATATATATATTATAAATTTCAATGAATTTGAAAGGTTACCTATTATGGAGAAATTGCACTAGGCAATCCGCTACAGAAGTTTAATGTAGTTTTTGACACTGGCTCATCAGACCTTTGGGTACCTTCCAAAAAGTGTTGGTGGTCACTGGCTTGCTGTAAGTTCCAAGTTTACAAATAAAATAACACTTGTAGGAATTATTATTATTTTTTTAGGGAACCACAATACATACAACAGTGATAAATCATCTACTTATGAATTAGTGAAAGATGCATTTTCAATTCAATATGGTACAGGAAGTGTACTTGGCATTGTAGCTCGAGATTCACTTTGGGTAAAATATACTGAACAAAAATCAGCATATTATAACATCACTCATTGTTCAACTACAGATAGATAACACTGAAATAAAGCACCAGCAATTTGGAGAAGCGACAGCAGAATCTAGGCAAACATTCCGTCCAGCTAAATTTGACGGAATTTTTGGTCTTGGCCTACCGGATCTGTCTACAACTAATTCTTTGCCACCAGTTTACAACATGGTACACCAAAGATTGATAAGCCATCCTGTTTTCTCAGTATATCTCAACAGGTATGTTACAAACTATCTGCTAAGTAACTATTTAACAGATTTATTGTGCTACAATAGAAATGAGTCTTCAGCCCATGGAGGTGAAATTTTATTTGGTGACATCAATCAAGATTACATACAAGGTCCCCTTTCAGAACATCCTGTAATTTCTACATCATATTGGATGATATTTATGTCAAAGTAATGTTTTTAATCACATTAGTCAAGGGGTGTGTCTGTGAGTTATTTAATTTTGTTTTCCAATTTATAGTATAGAAACTACAACAGGAGTTCAATGGTGTGAAAATGGCTTCCAAGCAGTTCCTGACACTGGTAGTTCACTTGTGCTTGGACCATATGAAGACATTATTGAAATACTTGAATACATGGGTGCTCAAATTACACCTGAGGGCTTAGGTTTTGTAAGTGTCTTTTTTTCTTCTCATTATTTTCTTTTCAAAAAAGATTCAGTTGAAGTAAAGTAAAATATTATTTTTTATGTTAGAATTTTAATATAAGTATTTTAATGTTAATATTAATCAACAGAAAAAATATGTGATTTTGGGTCTTTAATGTGTTTATAGGTTGACTGTGATCATGTTGACACCCTTCCAAATATTACATTTGTCGCAGATGACAGAAAATTGACACTACAAGCTGAGGACTATGTATTAAGGGTACAAGAATTTAAATTTATTCATAATGTTTCATACATTATATTGCTCGCTTATGATATGTAACTGCAGGGTGAAGAAAATGGTTCTACTTATTGTCTTGCTGGATTCAATGCTGTCAGAAATTTGGATTTTTGGATACTAGGAGATGTGTTCCTTGGGAAATTTTACACAGTATTTAAAATAGGATCCAACCCAACAGTCAGTTTCGGTGACCTGAAGAAAGTTTAAATATGTACTGTAAATTTTCTGTATCGTAAATAAAGTAAACAGCTTCAAATATAAAAAATTGTAAATTTTTATATTTTAGTGCCATTAATTAAAATTTTCTATTATATATATGCATATAAAGTTTACAGTGTATGATGTAATTTAAAGACATTTGAGAAAAAGGAAAGAAAATACTGCCACCCAAAATCATGTTGGAAGGTCTAAAGGAGGAAGGTGAATAATATATATGTAAGTGGATGAAAACGCGGCGGCTGAAAAATCTCTCAATATTCGTTTGTATTTCTCTAAGCGACAAGAGATGAGTCGGCATAAGCGAGTAACTACTTATTCTTGTGTAGGGAAAGGTAAAGTTCTAGAATTAAATAAACCAAAGAGCATATTCATTAACATTTATTGTACACAATTCTGTCTCTTAATGGTACCCAAACAACAGAATCTTAATCTAAAAGTCAGCCACAACTCTAAATCTGGGATGAGTCTATCAACAAAGGGAGTTACCCCAAACAACGCTCACCACGATTAGTGTCCACAGTATCTGGTCTTTTCTCTTGACCGTCGAGTTGGCTCGATGGGTCGCAACGGCTGGTCCTCACTGGCTCTGGCTAGCTGAGTTCCCTTGTTTAATCCCAGACGGAGTGTGGCTGCTTCTCTTCCGGATCGACTCCTGGAATCGACTGTCCTTGGTCGTGACTGCCTGGGGTGATTCTCTGGTTTCGACTGACTGGGGTGAGTCTTTGGTTTCAACTGACTGGGGTGATTCTCTGGTTTCGACTGACTGGGGTGAGTCTTTCGTTTCGACTGCCTGGGGTGAGTCTCTGGTTTCGACTGACTGGGGTGAGTCTTTGGTTTCGACTGCCTGGGGTGAGTCTTTGGTTTTGACTGACTTTTGATTTCCCAGTCGTCCCTTTTATATCAGGTTCTCTACCAGAGTAGGGGTGGAAAGGAAGTGCATAAATTGGGGGAGTTCCCATGCCGAGAAGGCCGGCGAAGTTGGATGTCGTGCACAGGTTTGATGCGACCCCAATTTACAATGTCCCACGTGGCTACATATTTTTGACTGTGACAACCCTTCACCACTAAATAACTAGACGATAGTTATTTATTTGATCGGTTGTCCAACTATTGCTACTTTATGTTCTCCAGTTTCGTGGGAAACAGGACGTGGGTCCAGCCTGGGTCTGCCACACCCTTCGACGTTCTTATCTATCTGTCCAACTGGGTAATTATTTCAAAGTTATATTTGCCAGATTTGAGGGGGGCGTCACGTCGTTCCTGTCTGAGTGATTGCCCATTCAGATTTACAAACTTTGTTCCCTTCCATCGTTTACCCTAATTTGTTCTTATATTAACAACTAAAACTTATCCCTAAGACAGAGACCGGCTTACATATATAAAAAACCATACATAAATCACAAATCATAAGACTTGTTTTAAAACATCTTAGACAATTCCAAATTTTTTTTCTAACTAGGCTTCGAAGGTGGAAGATATAATACTTCCATTGTAAGAAAGCTTGAAGGGCTGTGAGTCCTAAGTGAATGTTCTTAATATGGATAGCCCACTAACGGAGATGTAAATTTGCCTGAGGTGGTAGTAGGATGAGGTGTATTGCCCCAAAAACCTGCTAATGAGGACAGGCAGATTTTTGAAGTGAAATCAAACTCTGTTGCAAAATATTGGAGTTAAGTATTTCTAATTAAGTAGTTACTTGCCTCTTCCAGTTCTTTGATGATAAGTGGATTGATTTTCGAGATTCTCTTGGCGTTGTCTAGGGCTGATAGAGCAGCTTCTCAGTGTGGACTCTCTTTTGCATGTTGGTTTTAAAGCAAAATACATATGCTACTGTGCATATTGTCTTCTGACAACTAGAGATCCTCTCCAGTGTTGTTAATCAAAATTTCATGTTGACTTCTCCTAGGCCTTTGACTTGGTTGATCACAGTGTATTACTTCTAAAACTCAAAGAATTTTTTAGCACTACTAGACTCCTATGGTTTCATAGCTTTTTATAAAATCATCTTCCAAGAGTTTGAATTATGTCTAGCTATTCCTCTGAATTTGAAGTTAATTCACATATAGGATGATGGATCTGTTCAATACACTACCCAACAGTATATATATATAATAGATATAAAGTTTGAACAGAAATTTGAGAGGAACACGTTCAACAACAGTCTATTAGTACATCTGGTGAATATGTATATGTGGATGTAGTGGATGTATACAAGATGTGCTGGTTGATTGTTGTTGTTGTGTATATACATGTATGTATGATTAATTAATTTTATTTACAATTGTTTTTATTTACTTGTCAAATCCCAAATATTATTTTTGTATTCAAGCATTGGTATCTAAATTATTTCATGTTTTAAATGCTCTTTGTCTTTCTTGTAAATATTGTGAAAAATGGGCTAAATACATAAATACTGAATAAAGAATGGGACCAAAGATGCTACCTTGTGGAGCATCTGCCTTTGATATAATTGATAAGGAAAACATTAAAACAAATAAAAAGGAAGCTTCTCAGAAACAAAATAAAAAGAATCAAGGTTGATGTAATCAGCAGCAAAGGAATGGAGCAGGGTGAGGATTAAATTTCAACTTGTTTAACAAAAAAATAACTTGCAGTCAATACAGAAAATATCAATCATTGAAGTAAAATAAATTAAATCGAATCGACCTGAATTTGTTCAACCTACAGTTTATAAAAGTAACCAGTTGAGGTCGGCCTGAAGGGTGAGCTATAGTTATACTCCGGTTGTCAAGCCCTGAGGAAATTAGATCAGCAGAAAAAAGGATCATTCACATCCATATCAGGAAGAGTTTATTCCCAAACCTCCCCTTTCTCTCAACCATATATGAATTCATTCATCTTGTTATGAGAATGACCGAATCGTTGGCATATCATATATTAAAACCAGATAGGCTGAAGGAAAAGGAAAATAATGTTAATAGTCTTAAATAGAATATTTACCAAATCTTTAATACTTGGCATGGAATTTACCCACCTGTCATCAAAAAGAAAGTATTAAAAAAAATATATTAGACAATAGAATTGTCAAATTACCTTTTTTAAACTGTATTATTCATTTTTTAAATATAAAATCTCACTTCTGCATGTTCTTTGAGTTTTACATTTTTCTTTCATTTATTGTTTGTTTTACTTTTTGTACGTATGTACTTCATGAGTTAGAATAAGATTTCATGAGTGCATCGCAGTTAGCATCAGTAAGATTAAAACAGTTCCTTCAGTCATAGTGTTAAAAATAAATATTGTTTCATGAAATCTTAAGTACCAAGGATCTCTGAAAAAATGGTTGGTGAAACTGAACAATTTTATTCTGAATTTTTATAGATTTTTGTTATCTCAAGGTTTACTAATTTTAATTACTTTTACATGTATAACTTTAACATTAAGCAAACAAGAAATTGCAATTATTGTCCATTTTATCTACCAATGATATTACAAAATCTGACAGATACCAGCAAATTAAAATTTGTCATTTGTAAAATTGAATTAATCAACTACCATTGGTTTTTATCTAAATAACTCTTCAGGTAGTTTGTTTATTTATTTCACATTCAGAATAATTTCTAGTTTTATAAAATTGATTCTTTAAAAGTAACTGAAAATATTTTTGTTTAGAAAGATTTTAAAGAACATAAATAATAAAGAAAAACAAACTAAAAGTTTTCAAACTGGCATTACCATTCTTTTCTGTTGTATTAATTAAATCTTCTCTTGATCCTCCTAAATAGTAAACAAATTTTTACAATATTCTCTTCTCAGAAAACAACAAAATGTAGAATTTAAATTTACTACTGGCCCAGATAATATTCCTGTGTTTTAAAACATATGCAGAAGGCTTCTTCCTTTGACTCATCGATTTGACACATCATTAGCCACTGGGAACCTCCCCTCAATCTGAAAGACTTTTTAATTATTCATTACAATTTACAAAAGCATAGACAAATGTAATATTGAAAAATTACCTTGATGTCGCTAAACTTTCCTCTATTCTTAAACTATTTATTTGAAAGCCTAGTTCATGATTATCTTTCCCCTTTTCTTTTTCAAAAGCATCATCATCTCTCAACAAGGGCATTCCATTGAACCTAACTTAGTACTGACTTTTTATATATGAATTTAAAAATGAAAACTCAAGTTGACACAGTCTGCACAGACAATGGCGAAAGCTCTCAATCTAGTTAATTTAACATGTATTATCTATGAACTCATGTTTTATATAATAGGGCAACCATTCTTGTAATGGATTCAAAACTATTTAACAGATAGATACTTATCAGTATCGATAAACAATTCATCCTCTCAACAATTTCAAGCTACAGTGGTGTACCTCAAGGGTTGCCCCTCAGTCCTTTAATTTTTGTCGTTTAGGTAAATGATGTTACAGATATTTTTCTAAAGTGATTTTTTTACTCCTCACAGATGTCATAAAAACCTATTGCTTAATTAAATCTGTCAATGATGTAACACGCATGTACTTCAAGAAAAGCTTGTCCTTTCCAAATCATACAATTTCATTGATGATAAAGCTATTAGCAACAAGGTTTTATTATTAGAATTTGTAAAGATTTCAAAAATCAATTAGTTATAATATTTTATACATCATTAGTATGGATCCCTTCAGAATATTGCTCAACAGTTTGGCCGCCTCATTTAATAACGCTAAAAAATTCTCTGAAAAAAGTTCAACATTTTTTTCACTTTTTGTAAATGAAGGTTCTACTTACAATTTGTTGTTTACAACTATCTGGATTTCAAGCCTTAAATTCTCAGCATCAAGTTGAACAATTTATAAGCACGTCTCTACAGGAATTGTACTGGTCACTCTTACATTACTCTTACAATTCATGTAGAGGGATGTGTTTGAACTCCCTCAACCTGATGATGAGTGTTTAATCCTTGAAATCCGGATAGTTGTAAATAACAAACTGCAGGGGGTGTCGGTGGCTGCAAAGGTTTAAGCGTTGACATGGTGCTCATTACATTAAGATAAAGCTCCTGACATACATAAAAATGGACTTTTTTCAAAAGCACCACCACCCTGAGGGTTGATATGACCTCTGCTCTTATGAACCCTTGTAAAAAACCATCATTTAGAAAAAATGAATCTTCATACTCACCCTACCTACATTATTCTTATAAATTCTTTATATATATATTTAAAGGCAGAAAACTTGAAAATTAAAATAGATTACACACCCATACATTCCCTTTGCAATTTAGAAACACTAGTTATTTTCTTATACAATTATTACAGAATTTAATAGATTGTCCAGAATTACTATGTAAAATTAATATCAACATTCCTTGCAGCTATAACTAATATAAGCTCTTTCTTCATTTATTAACACAGAACTAGTTATGCTTATCCAAATCCTAAAGAATTGGTGGCTGCAACAGCTTAGGAATTGACACAACCCTCATCACTGTAAAGTAAAGGTCCCAGGTTCTAATCCAGTGGCCCTGCATTCGAACCCGGCATACTTACAAATGGGCTTTTTTTTTCAAAAACACCGGCACCCTGAGGGTTTACACGACCTCTGATGTTNATATAAATAAGTAAACAGACTTCAAAGAACATGTAATTAATTGCATGATGTCGATGTTTTTCATACTGTGTAATATATAGTGGCCTTTAAATAAGGATTATTTAGAGATCGTGAGATGCAGTCTGGTGTGATGTAGGTTTTGAAAATTCTTTTCTTTATCATGCAACATTTTGGTCTTTATTGAGATCAACTTCAGGGCCTGGGATTTATAAACATTGTTTAAATTATACAAATACATATAAGATATGACTATGAATTTTACGATGATATACACAATGTAGAAATTTTAGGTTTAATTAAACTTATTATTTTTATCTAAGATCTTAGTTGAGATAAAAAATTAGGTCACAAGTCTAACCAATTGTGCTATCGTGGCATCATGTGGTTAGAGCATCGGCATATTGAGCCGAAGGTTGTGGGTTCAAATCCCACTCGAGACACTAACTTTTTCATCTAAAGGATTGGCACGATAAAGAAAATGTTTTTCTAACCCTACATCACACCAGATTGCATCTCACAATCTCTAAATATTCATTTAAATAATCTCATTTATATATTTTGTTTGCGCTTTTGTTCATTTTGTTATTGTTCTATTATTACTTGTATTTAACTTGTGCTTAGTTTTATCTACGAGTTTGTATTAGAAACTTGACTACTTTTTTCTTTATCATTTATAAAAGGCTTAAGCCATTAATTATTTATTTTTTATTCTTTTTTTTTTTTTAATGAGGGTATTTCAACTATGAGGTTATATGAATCCCCAGGGTGCTGCGGTTTTGGCAAAAAAGCCCATTTGGAAGTATGTCGGGTTCAAATGCACAGCTGCTGGATTTTCCAGTTTTAATTTAGTATTGAGTTTTACAAATATTTGATTTGGTGTTAAGATTTTTATCTTCTATTTAATAAACCACGCTCTTAAATTAACACATAAATATCTCATTGATATATTTTTTATAGAAGTAAAAACGTTTAATTACAAATAGTGAAATATCTTATCCTTGTTTGCTTTTGATATCTTGCAATATTTTCATTGGACCATCAAACACCTTTTATAAATATTGTGAATAAATCTATAAAACAATGCATCGACAGTGTCATTACTAAGTTGGCCTTTTGCTGAATGCTGTTCATCCTATTAGTCAAAATTTAACATGAATATATTTTTCATTTTGGCAGCATTTGCTGCTTCTCTTGTGTCAGTTAACTGTGAAGGTTTGAGGTAACTCATTTTGAATTTTGAATTAGGTCAATTATTTTTTGTTTGCCTGTTGTCGCATATTTCAACTTTTTGGTGACTTACAATCATTTTGAATTAATTATCACTTATTATTAATAATAGAATGAAGAAAACTAACAAAAAACTAAACTTTTTCATTTTTAATACAGACTGTCACTAAAGAGAGCGTATACAAGTAGAGATAGAGAGTGGTTTGAAAATGTTAAAACCCAAACCAAGATGTATACAACTCTTTTTCAAAATGGCAAAATGAAGGAAACACTTATAAACTTTAAAAATGTAAGTAATTAATTAGTTATATATAATACATTATTAACAGAGATCTTTGATTCTTGGAAAGCAAGTATATGTTAAAGCCTGATAAACTGTCCTTATGATCAGTTCAACATGTGTTCACTGTCTCTCAAACAAACAAGCTAAAATAAAATTTAAAAAAATTAAACTGGAAAAAGTATTCATAAGCATTATTAAAATTTATTACAGTTGTATTAATGGATTAATTTGGAACGGCTATATCTTGCTTTGTAAACAGAGCAACTTCTATCCAGATTTTATCATAAACCTACTTTCCAGAAATTAATAAAATGTTGGTTATCCCTTACATAAAATAATAAAATTACATAAAAATAATAAAATATGTTCAATAAACAGGTAAGCTATTATGGAGAAATTGCACTAGGCAACCCACCACAGAAATTTTCTGTAATATTTGATACTGGTTCTTCAGATTTATGGATTCCTTCTAACAATTGCTGGTGGTCTTTAGCTTGCTGTGAGTTTATTTATAATTATCACTATATATATTATAACATTATATTTTTATGTCTCACAATTAAGTAATAATAATAAAAATAAAATAATATCATGTCGGCATTTCTGGAAATGGAAGAGGTGACCAACAGGCAAGGAATCTACACATGCGACCCCTCAGGATTTGCTTCAGTGAGGTCTTAAGCAGGGCCAGACTTGCACTGAGGACAGTGCTTTGACTTTTTTTACGGACAGGTGCAAGACTGGCAATTGTGTGGCATGTTCTGTGAATAGTGATGGTGTGGCCACCTTCTGGTCATTGCAGCATATAAAGCTAAAGCATATAAAGAGCTGTATGCAATTTGGCACGCTCTCGAGGGGAATGGACTGAGGTGGGCTCAGCATTCCATGTATGTGCCAACTCTCTAAGCGCTGCCTGGGGTATACAAGACAGGTTCTCTGTGGATACTAAAACTGGAGCACCTCAGAAAAACTGCTTGTTGTCTGGGTTCCTGGACACATTGGCCTGGAGGGTGCAAACATATGCAGATGAGGCGGCGAAAGCCGGGATGTCCCACCCTCCAGACAAGACATTGTGATTAGGCCCTTTGACAATAAGCTCACAGCAAAAAACATGATAAAAGAGAGATGGCAGCGTCAGTGGGCAGGGCCGTATGAGAAGCTCTTGTGAATTAAGAGTATAACCAGTACATAACCCTCAGAGAACCTGAGCCAGAGACGAGGGATCAGCCTCACCCAATTGACGATTGGCCATATGCGGTTGACACACAGCCAACTGTGTATAGGTCGATGGAAGAATTCCAATACTTCACCAAACAATCTGAATGAGTGGAATGCATGAATGTATTTATAAGTATTTATTTGTACGACTAATTTATAAAATTTAAGTAGGCTAGTGTGTTTGGGGCTTTCGATAATATCTCTTTGGCTTAAAAGTCCAATTATAATATTAATGGGGCATCGGTAGCCGCAACAGTTTAGGCATTGACACGGCGCTCATCACTGTAAGGTAAAGGTCCCAGGTTCGAATCCAGCGGCCCTGCATTCAAACCCGATATACTTACAAATTGGCTTTTTTTCAAAAACACCGGCACCCTGAGGGACCTTTGCTGAATGACCTCTGCTGTTACAAACCCTCGTAAAAAAAAAAAAAAAAATAATAATAATAATGTTGGATATTATTCTTTAGGGAACCACAGAACATACAAAAGTTGTAAATCATCAACTTACAAAGGTATAGGAAAAGATTTCTCAATTAAATATGGCACAGGAGAAGTATCTGGATTTGTATCTCGTGATTCCCTTTGGGTAAGGTGCATTTGTAATTTTGTTGCATGAATAATTAAGTTATTGGTTATAATACAAATTCTGAAATTTCACATATTCAGATTGACTCTGTTGAAATTAAAAACCAGAAATTTGGCGAGGCAACATCAGAAACAAGAGAGACATTTCGGCCTGCTCGATTTGATGGAATTTTAGGTTTGGGCTTACCTTCGATCTCTACAACAAAAGCCAAACCTCCAGTTTACAATATGTTTGACCAGAAGTTAATCTCTCAGACAATTTTTTCAGTGTTCATCAATGGGTAAACAATGTTATAAAATTGTTTAGTGTTTGATTAAAAATTTACTTGTTCACAATAGGGATGAATCATCACAACATGGAGGAGAAATTGTATTCGGTGGTGTTAATTGGGATTTAGTTCAAGGCAAACTTTCACGTCATGCTGTTTTAGGTGACACCCACTGGAAGATAAAATTGGATCTGTAATGTCTTTTAGATATACCATTAAACATGTACATTGAAGGATAATTTGTTTTAATTTGTAGAATTGAATCTGAAAAAGGACCAACATGGTGTCATGGTTGTTCTGCTGTTCCTGACACAGGTACTTCTCTCATTGTTGGACCTTATAAGGAAGTGTTAGGTATATTTCAACATGTAGGTGCAAGTGTGTACTCAAACGGTCTAGCATTTGTAAGTATTTTTAAAATAATTCTATTTGTGATATTCACAAGTTTTTCCCGTGCCCAATTTTGATATATTTTAGGTCAATTGTGCCAATGTTACAAATCTACCACAACTAAATTTCATACTAAATAATACCATGTACTCCCTGGAACCAAAAGATTATATTTTGGAGGTAAAAAACCATTATCATTTCTAAATTTATTGCTTTTATTATTTGTTGATTTATTTTATTATTTAACTAAAGGTTGCAAATAATGGCCAATCATCATGCCTTGTTGGTTTTACCGCTGCTAGAGGTTTCGATTTCTGGATTCTTGGAGATCTTTTCCTCAGGAAAGTGTACACTGTGTTTAACTTTGGTTCTAATCCTTCAGTAAGCTTTGGTCATTTGAAGTAAACTGCAACTGTGATAATATCAGCCAAATGAGCTCATTTGAATAAATATTTGATTAATTATTGTTTTATTGTTTTTCATTTGAAACTAATAGCAATAGTTTTAACTCTTTATATTTTAGTGCCATTAATTAAAGTTTTTCTATTNATATAGTCTTCTGCACCTGATGTGCAGAAATGCATATATTTATAATCCACCATAGCATTTGATGGTGGTTTTCCTATCTGAAATGAATGTATTTATTAGTGTCAGTATTGAGTATGTGTGGGTGGGTTGTGACGGAATATAGAGTACCCCACAGACCCACCAAATTAGTTAGGATATTTCTTTGAGAGTTTTGTGTTTTGGTTGATTGTATTGGTACGAACTCCTTGTCTTGCTCTTACGAGACGGTGGAAAAGAAGGTACAGTATATGAAAATTACGGATTTAAGGATTTTAATTAAAATGGTAAAACTAAAAGTAATTCTATGTTGTTAGAAATGAAATTATTACAATTGTAAGAAACAAATATTTTCCAAGTATGCCTTGATTTGTTTTATTTCTATTACCCTGCACTCAACTGGGTCTCCTCCACAGCAGGTCTTTCTCCGACAATGTCCTTAGCGCATCTAATGCTAATTGGCCAATTTACGGCGGAGTCTCCTTTCCCGCTGAAAAAGGGGGGACACGCCCCCATTTCCACGGTTCCCATGCCACGCGATCTCCTCAGTCGTGACAGTATTTATTAGTGTGAGTGATGATTATGGGTCATGGCGGAATATCGAGTACCCCACAGACCCACTAAACTAGGTTAGCAATAAGTTAGGTGTTTTTTAGAGTCAAAGGGGGAGGCACAGGCTTAATATTAATACCCCAGTTGTTAGCTGTACATATGGTATGAAACTTTATAATCAGCATGAATGTATTTATTAGTGTGAATGAGGGCAGGCCTTCAACGGAATATCAAATACCCTGAACCCCCCCCAACTAAGGTTAGGTTAAATGAGTCTAGTCATAAATGTGCCTGATGTTTATAATAAACTTATTAATAGTAAACCAAAAACTACTCTCGGATATGATAATGTGACTCCTCATTTTCAGTTAGTGTTACTCAGCTGCTAACTTTGTTATATAGCTTGTCATCGAAAGAGTAGGATTTATGTCAAATATTTGTATGGTTAGCTATAAAACATCTATTTATAAGAGCAGGGATTAAAAACTTAAGTATTAAAAACTACCATCCCATCAATATCAGTTGCCCAATAGCAAAAGTATTTGAATCTATTATTTATTATAAGATATATACACTTAAGTCACAATTATCTTGCAACAATACGGTATTGTAAAATATAAGTCAGTATCCACCAATATTTTACTCTATCATAAACACAGATTACATTTACATTTTAGATGCATTTGATAAACATTGTTATGTTGATTAATTCACACAAACTTTGCAGAAGCATTTAACACTGCATGACATCACGATATTTTGATTTACGAAGTTGGAGGCATATAGTTTTTATGGCAGCCTTCTCTGCTGATTTCACTCTTATCTGGAAAATTGATTCCAAATAGACAAAGTTAATTTTTCTGAATCTTTTAAATTGAAAGTTACTTCAGGAGTACCTCGTCGTGTAATCTATTTGATTCTCGGCGACAAATGAAATAGCCATGGAGAGCTTTAGTGAAGTACACTTTATTTTAATTCATTAAATTCACTATTTTTAATGGTCCGCTGGACCAATTAATATCATTGAATTAATTAAGGTTTTAAGTTGAGATAAAAAAGTCAGTGTCACGAGCGGGATACGAACATATATGACGTGTCAGTGTCATGAGCGGGATATGAAAAATGGCAAAAAGGAGGGAAAATTCGAGAGGTGGGGTTGAGATGGGAAGTTAGTGCTCGAGAGGATCGAAGTCACGATAGCTCAAGTGGTAGAGTAGCGGCATTTCAAGCCGAAGGTCGTGGGTTCGAATCCCAATCGTGACCTTGACTTTTTTATCTCAACTTAAAACCTTAATTAATTCATTTTAAGTTTAACTGATAAAGCTCTAAAACTTCTCTGGTTCATAATTGGTTTTTGTATAGATTTTCAGAATAATTAGGTGTTAAAAGTGTTATATATTTACTCAATTAATTACATAATTTTTTTAAAATGGAAAATTTGTGTCACAGGCGGGATTCGAATCCACGACCATCAGCCTAATATGCCACTACTTGAGCTACCGTGCTTCGATCTCCCATGCCACAAACTTCTCATTTCAACTTCCTATTTTATTCCAATTGCAAGCAAATCGAAACTTCATATAGCATTTGTGGCCTGGGAGATCAAAGTCACGGCAGACGGTAGAGCTACACTTGAAACTAAAAAGTAAAAAAAAATGATATATTCCTCCATAAAAAATAATAGGTAATAATAAACTGACCAGAACTCTTCAAATGAATTAACTTTAACATTCCATTTCATAATTAGAAACCCTCAAAATTTCAACATAGCCTACAGTAGGAACAATTATATACTTTTCATTCTCCTATCAACAGAGTACAGAGACAAGCCAACTCCATTGATATACATTTTTATTTATAAAAGTACAAAAATAAAATTTAAAAAAATAATTCCATTTCGAAATCATATCTAGTCATAGTTATATATTTTTATACCCACTTATATTTGTGTTTTCTTATACATTTATTTAGTTATTACCTACAGTTTAACTCTATTTTGTGTTTACCTTGTTTTTATGCTTTTTTAGGCTTCTAAGCCTGTCTTTGTAATATATATATATATATTTATTTATTTATTTATTTATATATAAATCCCTATGTGTGATGAATGTGGTCTGTAGAGGTGAGGATCATAATCAGCTGCCTGCTTCAATGAACGGAAAAAAATACAATTTCTAGAGGTCAGCTGGCTGCCATCGTCGGGCAAGGGATGTGGCCATCTTAACGTGGCTTCAGGTTAGTGGCATTGGGCTAGTATCAACGGTACTTATGAGTCATAACAAAAGCAAAAGTAGTGGAAAAATTCATTTTATAATTGCTATTATTTTAGGTGAGTAGTTTGTTATTCTCGAGAATATACTTCAGTAAACCCTGGAAAATGGAAGGGTAGAAAAAAAAACTAATTACTTAATTACAAAAACTCTTGCTTTGTATTGTTATATAAAATATTTCCTCAAAAATAAATTTGAATTTAATCACCTGTTAATGGAAAACTTTCAAAATGCCTAGAAGACAGTGTAAGTCAAGTTCACCTGCACCACATTTTCAGTACAGAACTTCACGGGTATGTTTTCAAGCATAAGATTAACTTAGATACAACCACTTTCTATATTCTAGGTGGCAGATGCCGAGGAAGACCTTTTTGAATTAGTGAAAATGCTACCTATAAATTTAGACAGATCCTCAGCCAGGATCATGATTCAACTTTTGGAGGAGGAACTGTCTGCTGAATCCCTTTTTACACTGTACAAGCTGATAAAAGTCAGCTAATTTTCATATGTTAATAATAAAAGAAAATGGTGACTTGTTAGAAATTTGTACTGTGATTTTGTTTGCCAGAAATAAATTGATTATTGCATATTATCATTGGATTTGTTAAGAGTTAAGAAAATTATATAAAAAATACAATTGTTTAAATAAACCACATGTTTTCTTCTTAAAACTGGATTGGTATAAATAAGTACAAGCAGCAATCATAGAGTAATAATGGTTAAAGAAAGAAAAAAAAGTGGAATTAAAAATAACTGTAAAGCCCCATTGTGTTTTTGCTGGCATGGGAATCAGTCATCGGATCATGTCCCAAAATCTTGTCCAGCTTGTGAAAAACGTAAAAAGCATTCTAATGAGTTTCACAAGTGTATAAAGCAAGAAGTGGAACTCAGCAGTGGCTACACAGCAGAAACAGTTTCAACTTTTACTGAGGATTTAGAAAAAGAGAGTTCTCCAAAAGCAAAAGCAGCAACAAATAAAAAGCATAAACGGTATAAATTTGAGAATCTATCAAGATTTTTGAAATCAGAAAGTAAAATATTGGTGAGTTATAATCAATGCACTGTTATTTAGAGAAAGATAATATTTATATTATTTCAGTGTAATGAACCACAAAAGATAATTTTTCCACAACTACTTAAAAATGAAAAATATTTTCACACACTTGTCAACAAAGGTAATTTGGAAAAAGTTGACAAGTTTTTAAAAAATACAAGTAATTTTAACGTTAACTGCACAGATTTCCAAGTGAGCGCATTTTTAATTTAAAAAAACTATAATTATATATTTGTATGATTTGTTTTAGGGACAGACACCTTTGATAATTGCAATTAAAAATAACAATTTAGAAATGGTAAGATTGTTATTACAACAAGATAATATTACAATAGCAGATGCTATTCTTCATGCTGTGAAAGTGGGCAATGTTGAAATTCTTCAGTTAGTACTTGACCACATCAATACGACTAATTGCAGAATAGAATTTATGGATGCCCCATCCTTTGAATTTCCACCTTACATCACACCACTTGTTTTGGCAGCAGAAATGGGAAATTTTAAAATAGTGAGTTTGCTGCTAGAAAGAGGTCACTTTATACCAAGGCCTCATAAGCCGCAGTGCTTTTGTAAAGCCGAGTGCATGTAGGGCTTTTGAATAGTATATCTAAAATTTATTGAATCTTATTGATTGATTGATTCAGGCGTATTTTCAAGAGTGAGGATCCAGTGACTGTGGCAAACTCCAAACTTCATGTTTATAGTGCTCTCTCTAACCCTGTTTACATTTGTCAAATGGCAAATGATCCTATTTTAGCCGCTTTCAAATTATCAAAGGAACTTAAGACAGCTGGGTTAATGGATATGGTCAATAAAGTTAAGTATTATAAATTGGCCAAAGATGTAAGAGTATTTGCAGCCCAATTAGCAGGTTTGATCACAGTTTTACTGGGAAAGAAATGGACAATGTATTGTTCAATTTTTAGCACTTTGCTATAACAAAGAAGAAGTGGAAGTTATATTAAAAGAACAAAATGAATCTGAAAGGAAAACTACCTCATATACGAAGCTGAAGAAAGCGATTTTATACAAACAAAAGGAATTTATTTCAAGTCCTAATATCCAATATGTAAGAAGATAAATAGTTACATTAAAATGTCATATCATGTTTAATTTTTTAGAAAGTGGAAGAATTGTGGTCAGGAAGATGGTACACATGGAAAACATATTCTAAACCTTTAAAGTTGTTCATTATCTTTGGAAGAGTTTTTTGCCTGCCTTTTATTTTTTTGTCTCACTGTTGCTTTCCAACATCACATTGGTCAAATTTTCATGCTACTCCTATTAACAGGTTCATTAATTATTTATCAAGCTATTTTGTTTTTCTGGTTTTTGTCACCCTCCACTTTTACACTGGCAAAAGGGATGTGGATAAAGATTGGCAATTTTATGGTAAATTAATTGATACTAAAAAATTTCTTTATCAATAAGCCAGAGAAAGTATTTTTTAATTATGTACTTAACAAACACTTTCAGCTTATGAACCATATTTGATGTGGTTCACGTTTACATCAATGCTATCAAACTTTCTTTTGTGGTATAGGCAAGGTAGGAATTATTTCAAGTTTTATTTAAATAGGTGAGATTAAAACTTTAGTATATTACATAACACATTAAACATTGATAAAATTTTATAGGTATTGTATGGCTGTTGATGCATTATTTTTGATAACTTCTGTGTTTTGGTTGATGTCGATAAGTTCACATTTCTCAATGAACAACCTAGTTGAAAATAATCAGAATTTCTTCTATCCGAAGCAATTAGCAGAAAATTTGTTTGGAATAGCTGCGATTTTAGCTTATATAAAATTAATAATGTTTTGTCAAATGGAATATCACTTAGGACTGGTTTTGGTAAATTTATATTTTTCCTTCCATTTCATAATTTGTACTAATAAAACATTTCAGATTTTTATTGGAAAACTTTTAAAACCATTATGGTCTTTTTTCCTAATAATGTTTATCATACTAATAGCTTTTGCACAAGGTATGACTTGCTATGTGTTATATAAGAGATGTAATCTTATTCAAAATTTAGCTTCAGGAATATTCCATTCATACTATTCTAAATTGTTCTCAATTGAAACTGAAGAAAAAGATGGAGAAAGCTCATTTATTTCACCCTTTGAAACACTCAAGGTACGCTTTTTACCAAACTGGTTTTACATTTCTTTCATTTACTATTCAAAGACAGTTTTATTATTAAAATTATAGTATTTTCTGTTTGGAACATTTGGCTTAGCAGCATTTAAAGGTGAAAGCAATGCTTTTTTGAAAAATAAACCTATCTTCACCGAGGTAGTTGGCTTTGCTGTATTTATAAGTATGATTATTATTTTTATTATTAATTGTAGTATTGTTTAATTATTACTAATAATATTATTGGTCAAGGTTTTTTATGTATAATTTCTTCTCTCATGGTTTTTATGCTTGTCTTTATGGCAGCCAAATCTCAGAAATTATTAGACGATCTCAAAATAGAATGGATATACAGAAGAACTGAAGTATAACCCTATAAATTTTGTAGTGTTTTTTTGTCAATTTTTTATTATTCTTTTTTAAATAGTTAATACTGCACTTTATGGACTTGCCAATATTGCCACCACCATTAAATGTTCTACCAACTATAAGATATTGTATTACAACATACAAATCACAGCATAAAAATAACGTATGATATATATTTTATTAACTGTCATGTTCAATTTTTTGTTAAATTAAATATTGATGAATATGTAATTTATTTATTTTAGGAGATGGAAAAGGGCCTTTTGCAAGATGAAAAGGACGAAGAATTATCCAGTATTGTAATATCCCAACTAGTACAGAGATATTTTGCAAAAGCAAGTTAAGGAATTGTAAATGAAAAGAATAATTTATTGTTAAATCCATAACACTTGTTTTATACAAATGTTTCAATATAAATTGGCCAATTCCAAATATGTTTTTTAAGCTACCTATCATACTAAAATACATAGAGTATTTTTCATGTAAAATGGATGGGTGTTACATCTCATCCATTCGACTAAGCTAAACTTATAAATTTTCCTCCTTAATAGAGCCGATAAAGCTAAGTGATTAGATTATATAGGAGCTGGCCTCTTTTCCACCTGTGCACCGTGACCAATATTGGTCTACTGTGCATTAAACCTATGTGTCCAATCTATATACCAATCATTATATCCTACATCATAATCAATTGCCCTTTATACACCTCTGCCACAACCCTCCATCAAATCCCTAACCATGAAAATCATTAGAGGAGAGAAATAGTTTCAAAGTCCTGATGAAGGAGATACTTTCCTTGAAAGCTTGACGAAGGAACGGATATTTTTATTTCTTTCAAATTCACCAATCTCTGAGTTTTTGTATAAACAATATAATTTTAATTTATTAATACAAATCTATTACATCAAGAAATTACAAATTGCGGGCGTTGCCTCTCCCAGCTGAATCCTGAATTGAATAATAGGTGTTCAGGAGTCTGGGGAGTTTGCCAACACGTGAACAACAAGGTTGATTAGATTAGTCTCAGTTTGTGAATATAATTTGTAAAAGGACCATGTCTCAAGAGGAATTCACTTAATACATAGTCATATTATAAGTAATTGGCCTGCAATCTGTCAGCAATTGAAGTAAAGCACTTTGTCTGCCTTTGCTACTATACTTCCAAAATTTCTCTTCTTAATGGCCTCTTCTTTAAATATAATTTTTTTCTTTTTGTACATGATAAGTTGAATATTTATCATGTGTATTTGTCTGCTAAATCCTTGCTGGTTATTCCAATGTGTCCTTTCAGTTTAGCAATATTTATTCAATCTCCTGCAGTTGTTTCTCCCTACAGTGTAATCTATTTGGATTGATGATCAACACTGGTAAACTGTAACTGGGCTAGTATTTCATTTATAAAAGAAATATGTTGACGACTCAGTTTTCTCCTGACATAAAATGTTAAAAATACCCATTTTTTTCATGTTTTACCCTTAAAATAGAAACTACCCTTCTCTTACGTTCTCTCTCTCTTCAGCTTGTTTTCCTTCAGCTTGTTTTCCTGCAGCCTGGAATAATAAACTACTACCCAAGAAACCAATACCCACCCTTGCCAGTGACTATCCCAGTGACTAATCAGCATTCTTCCATCATTATCTAAAACATTGGAGAAGATTTTATTTAAAAAATATCCTTTTGTATTTACTCCCATGCCCTTATATCCCCTTTTCAATCTTGCTTTCGAAAATTTCATAGTTGATAGTATTCTATTTGATTTTTCCAATGCATTCAGCTTCATACAACATAAATTGCTTATTTGGAAAAAACATCATTTTAATTTTTCTTCTACTTCTTCTCCTTATCTTCTCGTATCGGACGACAGAACTCAAACATGTAAAGCTTCAAATTCTATCTCCTCTTCACTCTCAATTTCAGTTTGTGTATCCCAAGGATCTATTCTGGGACTCACTATTATGTCTTGAAAGTACTGATGCAAAGCCAAGCAGGAGGTCGGATACGAGGCGCTGTCACTCCCAATGCATGTAGTTAGTAGTTTCAATCTTATTCACACTCTCGTAAATATAATATATCCTATTTATATATGACTAATTCAATTAGAGTGGTAGAGTAATCGGTATTCGTTACACCTATTGTATAACTAACCTAATTGAGAATCGATGGGGTATTTAATATTCTGCCATCATACCACGTACACGACACATTCACAGCAATTAATACATTTACTCTCAACACACACTAGGTACACAAAATTTTCAGTACTATCTACAATTAAAAAAAACTCTGTTTCCTCCAATAATCAGACGGAGGATCAAGCTATAGTAGTATAGTTCGCTGCCATGCTCAAGCACAATTCTCATATTGGGTGGCATTCCTGCACACTTTGTCTCTCTATAGAACATATCAACCAACTTTTCTCTATGTGCTGGACAAATGCACACGGTTTGGCGCATAAAAATAAGTGTTTGTGTGTCAATCTTGTAAGGCCTATCCTTAATCGGTTGAAGTTGACCCTTCTTCAGATCTGCTGAAGGCTATGCATTGACAGTACTCTTTTATATGTTTTATCATTACTATTATTATTTCCATTAGATTTCGTGGTCCGATTGACCAAATAACTTCTTTCAATTAATTAATCTTTATGTATGGTAAGGTATTGGTTGAGATAAAAAAGCCAGTGTCACGAGCGGGATTCGAACCCACGACCTTCGGCTAAATACGCCGATGTTCTACCACTTGAGCTATCGTGACTTCGATCCACTCGGACACCAACTGCCCATCTCAACCCACCTCTCGAATCTTGAAAAATGTCAAAAAGGAGGGAAAATTCGAGAGGTGGGTTGAGATGGGCAGTTGGTGTCCGAGTGGATCGAAATCACGATAGCTCAAGTGGTAGAACATCGGCGTATTTAGCCGAAGGTCGTGGGTTCGAATCCCGCTCGAGGCACTGGCTTTTTTATCTCAACCTATATCTTGCATAAAGATTACCTACTATTATTATTATTTTTACTGTGCTTGTAAAAGTAAATTTATTTCTGAGATAAGTAATTACATGTAAGGGGTTTTTAAGCCCTGCTTGTACCTTGAGAATAAATAAATAAATGAAACGCTATTTACATGTAAACCTAGCATTTTGACAAAAAAAAATTTACAATCAAAATAAATAAATAGCAAGTACGTACAAATAGTATTTTGGTTGTGTGAGTAAGCAATGATGCTTGAGATAGAAAATAATCGCAAAAAGATAATCAAACCGCCAAAAATATGATAAACATAAAACCTCTCAAATTGGTACATTTTTTAAAATCTTTTGTTCAGTAGTGTTGAAACGTGAAAAATTGGAAGCAGTGGTTCCACCCCTTCGACCGTTCAACGCACGAAAGGAAAAAAAACCTACCCCATCCACCGCGAATTTCATTAATGGAGCTTTTATCTCGTGGTCCTTGACGGTTTTTTCCCTCTGTCAAATCAGAAATGGATAAAGGAGGAGTGGTTAGGTGGAAGAAAAATGAATTTCTCCCCGCCGGTTCTGATACACGGGCTCTAACAAGTTTGATCAATCCTCCATGCAATCTCCTAAATTACGAGGCGGTTCGTTTAAAATTTCGATGTCTCGAAATAAAGGGATGTTTTATAATACATCGACTTGTGATTGATTATCATTGTAATATTTATATATGGGGATAATTATAACTACATAAAAATATCTTCTACGCGATCGACCGGCCTTTTCTAATAGTCTCGTGAATTAGGGTTGTGAACTTTTTCATTGTCTTTTTTCTTTTCATTCTAGCATTTTATTCCTTCTTATTTATTTTGCTGAAGCTGGAGTTATATTCATGTCAATTAGGCTTTAAAGTTTGAGTGTTAAGGTAAATTTCGTTTCTCTATCCTCTTAACAGCCTCAGGGCTAGGTTAGTTACGTAGAAAATTATGCATATAATAAACACACAATTAATAAAAATATATATATTTAAATACAAGTTAGTGTGGTTTCTAACCATAGTCGATATTTCTCGGGGTGATTGGGGAAGAAGCCCCTTCGTTCGCGCTAATAAGTAACATCACTGCTCCAGAGTGCTCGATATGGGCCTTTCATTTCTTTAAAGTAAATCCACTCAGTATATTGATAAATAAGAACTTTTTCGCATTCACCCTTTCCTTTCAGTACAATAAATAGCTATGCAATTCATGTATCATTCATTCGTGCCGAGTATTCGATATTACCAGAGGATCGAGGGTCAAGCTCTCATTTCTAGCAAATAAATACATTCGTTCAATATATATTTTTTTACATTCTGTAGAAATATGTAAAATTAATTCAGATCGTTTTCTGTATACCCTAAAATATATCGTCGAAAGCTCGATGTTGATGCAATACACATAAATAAAAAAGTAATTATATTAAAAAGTACACACTTTATGCCCAGCCGATATGTCAAGAACTGGGCCAATTCAATAGAAAAATAATGGAGAGACCACTTATTTAAAGTAAAAACAAAGACATAGTTCCCTGGCTTGTGGAGGCTAGGTTAAGAATGGAAAACGTCATACCACGTTATGCATAGGCCACACCAAAACCTCATTTAGGCACCTCCTAATGGGCGTAGGGACCATAATAATAACGGAATGTAGATAAATAAGTTTGGCATAAACAGACGTCGTTATTCCGCACGTCTTATTGGGTCACAGCAAAATTATTAATATTTCGGCCTAGGGACATAATTATTAATATTTTAACTGTATGTAAGTGTAAATGACAAATAGTTCTTATTTGTACAAATGTGCTAACTCAATTTAAATTATTAGTGTGGAAGTAGAAACCAATAAAATAAATTATCTTGATTAGAATGATATCAGCCTTACAATGTAATTACATATAAAATATCAGGCTATTTACTAAATAAATACGCATAATGGCTGGATTTCAGCAATTTAAAGCTTAAAAACGGTAAGCTTATATTTTTCCGAAAATCGGCTATAAGGTTTGCCATAGGTTGTACAAGCAATACCTCATAATCATAGTTCCATTAGTAGTAGTATAGTTTAATAATGTCCGATATTGGATTCGCATTAAGCACAACTTTATTTTCATCCAAGCCCCTGCTCGTGCGGAGGAGAAGTTCGCAAGAAAAGAAGGAAATTCGATATCTCTCCAGGGGGTCACTGACGTTTATAAATCGCCCAATACCCCATTTTGACTGATTTCAATATATTGATCATAAGTTTTCAGTATTCCATTGTGAATACACATTTGTATGGCTAAGTCAATACCCTCAATACAGACTATACTACCGATTTTCTTATACAAATATTGTCTGAATGTTTCAATTGATAAGGAAAAATCATTTCGCGTTAATAAATAAATTATCTTGACTGGTTGATATCAGGTATATAAAAGATAGGATAAGGAGAT